ACTTCTCGATATTCCCCCCACTTCTCGAGATTCCCCCCACTTCTCGAGATTCACCCCACTTCTCGAGATTCCCCTCAATTCTCGATATTCCCCCCACTTCCCGATATTCCCTCCACTTCTCGATATTCCCCCCACTTCTCGATGTTTCCAGGCTCTTGGCACGGCTCGGTGGAAAGATCCCCCTTTTCCTCCCACAGCGGCTCCGGAATGTGTGCGGAATTTGAAGGTTTGTGGGGCAGAGGGAGGCAGCGGCAGCGTTTATGGAGCTTGATGTATGTCCCCCCTCTCCTGGTCCCTGTTCTACACGCGTTCATGGCTAATAAAAATGCTTTTCCCCGGGCAGAGCTGGGCCGAGAGCTTGGGGCGAGCCCACCGAAAGGCAGGGAAGAGCGTGCAGAGCGGCACGGAGCTCTGGCATCCCCGCAGTGCAGCGAGCGCATCTCGCCCTTGGCGGGATCAGGAGGCGCAGGAACCGCGCAGGTTACGGGATGAGTGTGCCAGGCGATATGGAGCGAGCAGCAGCGGCACACCAGCGCTTGTCTGCTGTGCTGTCTGCGCTCTTTAATAGAAATTGCCCTTTCTGGGGGTTTTATTAAGAAGATTTTTGTCTTCTTTCTATTATCTCTGTAAGCACCAGAGTGAAGCATTCGTGTCTGCCGGCCAGTCTGGCAGTTTTATGTTTCCAGAATCTGCTGGGAAAAAGTCGGAACCCGCAGAAACACAAGATTCCCCTGGCATCACGTTGGTTTGTTCCTGTCAGCATATTTAATCATTTTTATGCTAAAGAATTGTGCAGTGAGCTGATCTTAGCAATGATTTACTCTGCTTGAGGCTTTATTGATTTTTTTTCTTTAGCAAGGACATAAGGAAAGGAGTGAAGGAAGGATGACACGGTTTGTAAAGAAAAAAATTCAGTGTACGTTTGAAGTGTAGTCGCTGTTAAATATATAGACATATACACGATGCTTTATGCAGCTATAAAAACAAAAGGTCTCTTTGCCTCAGGATATTTCTCTTACAGCAACAGGTAGCAAAGGCTCCTCTGTCCCCTTCTCTCCCCTTATCTCCTCCCCTTCAGCTCCTCCTGACAAAATGCCAGTTTAAAAGGTCAGAGTGTTTATGTAAATATTGTGCTTTTCTTAACAAAGACTGCTACGCGTCAAGCCTGCAATGACTGTCAAATAGACTCAAGACATTCAGTGAGGGTACTGTGGGTTTCCTAAGACTGATAAAATCTGGCAGAAAACAAAGGACAGAAGAGTGTGCCTGGGATGGATCCACAGCGCCGGGCGCCCGTGGGCAGCAGCTCCGCCACGGCAGCGCTTGGTACTGCAGTGTCCACCGCAGCTTCACACCGCATGTGTGTGAGACAGGCACCACAAAATGGATCAAAAGAGATTTGCTGGTATGCTAATGCCTTTCTGCTCTTCCCTTCAGGTTTCTTCCTCTCTCTAGTGGCGTCCTGGTCTGAACTTGCTTTGCGGCTCCTTCGCACCAAAGGCAGCTTAAATCAGCCAAGGAGGATTTTGAGTCTGACCAACCTCACCCTCCCAATAAAAGAGATTGACTTCATTAGTCTTTGGGTCAGACACTTCACAGTAAGGTGGAGTTTCTATTTCATAGCATCCAGAGGTGCAGTGGACATAGTCTGGTCTTTATTTCTCTGTGCTCTCTTTCCCTCCAGCCCCTTGCCACATTCCACTAGAAGAGGCTGCTGAGAAAAGATTATATCCATTACCAAAAGGTTAAAAAAGTTACTTTGGAATTACAACACAGATCTTGGAGTTGTGGTCAACTCCAAGACCTAATTGCCACCACAGTTTGATTTGAGCCCTTAGAATCACTCTGAAGCAGAGTTAGAGGGCTCTAAAGGACTATGATGCCTTTTGTTCAGTGGTGTTAATAATCTGTGACCTTAAAATACGATATTACAAAATCTCATTTTAGGGCAGAGTACTGAAGTAACAAACAATGAAACAAATAGTACTTGAACGAGGCAGAAACTTACATCACTACCAAAATGCCAAATCCAGACTGGGACCCTGTCTGCAGCAGAATCATGTGAGGGAGGAGTGGCACATCAAATTCTCCCTTCCCAAAAGCCTTGTGGCCCTGAATTAGAGGTCATTAGAGTCCTTTGTCAGCAGTGTGTATCTGTTGGTAAACACATTTTATCAGCTTATCATAACCACAACCTTTTTTTGTTTTCTACTTCATATGATCAGCCTTTGGTCATCTTTCTTCCAGAACCTGCTAAGTGCTTCTCTTTAACTACTGAAGAATGTATGTGATTTATTAAGGTAGCACAGTAGTTACTCTCAGTTTGCAACAGGCAAACCCATTATGCAAACAATACTGTCACCTTCTTGCAGTGACTTCCTTCTCCCAGCTATAATGAATTCCCTGCATGCTACTCTGCTGTAAATTCTCCATCTAAAAATTCCATCCACTATGTGATGTGTCAGGGGAAACTGTACTTGACTTTAGAAACAGTTGGGAGAAGCAGAATGATAACCTATTTAAGTGCCTTGCCCTTAACTCAAATTTGGCAAGTAATTAAAGTTAGAGCAAAAAGACTTAAGTTTTGGACTGCTTATGTTCTTGGTGTTTTAACTTGGGTGAAATTTTCTTAGAAGTCTGATCTGAATGTCAAATTTGCATATTTATCCAGAAAACATAGGCAGTGCTTAATTGCCTGCATCCAGCATTCATATTTTGCTTGGGAAACAATGCTTCACATATTCATGAGTTTCATTTCTAGTTACTGTGTGCACCCATAGAACACCTGGTCACAGAGGAGACGCTTTTATTCCACTGGTGCAGTGGCTCTGGCTGAGGTGGGGCCCATGCTCCCAGAGCAGCCCTCAGAGCTGTGCCTTGCCCTGGGAGCTGGAAAGGTGCAGATTGGAAAGGTGCAGGTTTGCACACACCAGTTCTGGCTGCTGCTGGGCAGGGCAGGCACAGCCTCAGCCCTGTCTCTCAACATTCCCTGCAGGGACTGGGCACAGCTAGGCCAGCTGCCCCAAACTGACCAAGGGGATATTCCAGATCATTTGACATCAGATCAGAGATAAAAGCTAAGTGGGGGTGGAGGACTGGGGAGGAAGATGTGTTATTTACAACATTTACCTTCCAGAGCAACAGCTCCACGTGCTGGAGTTCTGCTTCCCAGGAAGAGGCTGGACCTTTGTAGCTGATGGGAAGTACAGAATAAAATCTTCAGGCTTTCTCTGCTTGAGAGCACAAACCCTTTCACTTTGTTTTAGTGAACTGCCTTGTCTCAACCTGTGAGTTGTTTTCCATCTTATTTTCTCTCCACTGTCCAGCTGGAAGGGGGAGTGGGTACAGCAGCTTGGTGGGCACTTTGCTTTAACAGATTTATGATTCACTTGAATAAAATTATGCCCACTGAGCATTTCCTCACTTGCAGAGGGGATATTTTTTTTAGGATCTGACAACATTTCACCTACAGAAAATGAACCAGTACTGTAGAATTATTTTTTTTTTACTTTTTCCCCAAAAAATGAAAGAAATAAAACATGCTTCCTTATTCACCTGCCCTGTCCTTTGGCAGCAAGGGACAAACTGAAAGGCTGGGGGATTTTTCAGGCTCTTGCTGCCATTGAAGCACCATTTTTCCTAGATAGAATAACCTTTTTGAAGAGGTGGCATTTCTCTACTGCTTTCATAAGGTATAATAAAGTTCAGGTAAGCTGAACTCAGTAGACACAGCCAGACACGTCTAGGAGGGATACAATAGCCCCTGAGATGTGGAGGCATCAACTTCTCCAGGGCCTGCCAACTTTCTGACCCCTATTCTTGAAAGATTTAAGGTTATTCTGCTGAATCTTCACAGCTGCTGTCCTCTGTGCCAGGTAGGGGGCTGCAAGATTCTCTCCTTGCACTGCAAATACACAGAGAAACAACTGAAGAAATAACTGGGAAATGTCTGGGAAAGAATGGAGGGATTTCATGGCTGTCCTGTGACAGGCTTTGTTTGTAGTTGTGAATTCTTAAGGCGTATAAGGCAAACGATGACTGCCATCACACAGTCTGAGAGGTAAAATCAGGTGACTTTAAAGCGTTCCCAGCCTTGACATTAAAGCTGAACAGGTAAACAGGAAATGATTTTTCTTCAAATCCATGGGACAATGACAACACCAACGTGCTGCAGTACGTTACCGACCCTATTGCTATTTTTTTTCAGTTCTGGCATATCTAGGCCATGTTTCAATAACCAATAACCACCATGCAGGTAAAAACATGGGTTTGCCTGTTTTAAAATATCCTCTGATGCATTCAGGAGTTTCTTCTTGCTAACTTGACTTTAGAAAATCACAACAGTCTCTGTTAATTTCAAGAAATATTTGTCAAGAAAAGTGAAGGAGGAGGTGCATTTTAAATCATGTTGAAATTTTGTGGTGGAGATTCCTGTGCACCAAATTTCTGTTTTGCTTAAGAAAAATTTATTTAGCTACTGTAGTATCCCAGTACGAGAAGGCCTGCCCTATGAAAGTAGTATAATCTGTATTTCCAGTAGTTGATATGATGGATGTAGAGTGACTTTACAAGCAGAGTGAGAATCACTGACCTCTGCAGATTTGTAGAGGAATTGAGGTGTAATTGTAGTGTGCTTGTGTTTAAATAAAGCTGTCCTGCATCTTCTGTTGGGTTTTAGCCTCACCTGGCCATAGTGTTGGCACACACAGTTAGAAAAAAATCCTTCCAGTTGGCTCTGTGTTGTTTGTGTGTAATCAGGAAAGGAGTCCCTTCCAGACCAGGCAATGTAGCAACACAAAAAGTCTCTTCCTATAGAGTTTGGATCTGAAATGCATTTGAATTAATGGTGTAGGATGGAAGAAGACCCCTCAATGAATTTTCTGTGGCACATGTAAAAGAACAAGACGCACATTCAGAAAAAAATGGGTTTTTTGGAAGGGTGATGGAGTCAAGTAAAGCTCAGTTGATGCTTTGCAATGTCAAGGAATTGCACAACAGAAGAGTTTTACGAAGTGGCTGTGCTGTGAAGAAAAACTTGCAGAGAATGCGATTTCCATTTTGAAAATAGATTATTTTACAGATATTGGTTCCATTTGATAGTCATTCCCTGAATAACATCTGCTGCATTATCTCAATAAATCTGGTTACCTCCCACAGAAATGAGCTGAGCAAAAGATCTGCAGTAAATTTTGAAAATAACCTTTGTTATTATGTGTCATTAACTCATAAGAATCAAACTACATGGCCACTAATGACAATGAACAAGAACAATACAGTTTCTTGCATATTCTGTTCCATGCATTTCCAGTCTCTAGTCTGCACTTAAAATACAGCAATTTTACAAGCATTTCTCATTTGCCCAGGCTGTGGAGTTAATGAGATAGAGAAAGCATGAAGAATTTGTACGGATGAACTCCATTTACCTTATTTCCAACTCAAACATAACAATATGAAAAACAAGGGATATATGAATAAAATTGTGTATCCTTTTTTTTGCTTTTTCACAGTTCTTGTCTTGCAGCAGTCTGGGTGGAGTCATTATGGCACACAACAGGTATGTGTCTTGCCAGCAGCAGCCATCACCCTTTTGACATTCCTGCTGCCTCCCAGCTGCTGGGGGGTGAGAGCAGGAAGATAATCAGCTTCTCTTCTCCATCACAAAGGAAAGGAGGCAGTAAAAAAAAATGCCTCTTCCATCATTTATTTGATTATGTTCTCCATTTGTCAGAGCAGTAGAGCACAAAGCCCACATGGATTTTGTGAAGTGCTCTGTAAGCATACATTTAAAACTTCAGCAGACAAGGATGGCTTCATGTCTTTAGTATGTGTTTTGCTGAGCCACATGCCAGCAGGAATTTATACTTTTAAAGTGTTATAAAATGCCTTTACCAGAGAGCCATATTTCACTTGCATTTCTACAAAGGAGATTGGAGAGAAAGTAAATGAAATCTCAGAACCTGGCTCAAAAAAAGACATACGTTCAATTTCGAGTTAGCTGTCTCGATTTTGCTCAACCCTAGAAATAACATTCACTTTTTTGGCATAACTCTGACACAGCAGAACACTGTCTTGTTCCTATCTGGACATTAAGAAACTAGACATCCACTCTCTTGCTTGGCTCTTTTGTTCAGATAAAGACATGAAAAGTAACACTGCCAAAATGTATTAACATGGGATAATCTCAATGTTGGTTGTGCACTTTAAATGACAGAGTAAAAAACACTACAGGATAAGAAAAAAAAACAACCCCAAGGAAATATTCTCACTGAGTACTATTTGGACTGTCTAGAGGAAATGGAAAGACTTCTCAATCTGGAAGGTATTGGGCAATTAATAGTCAGTATATAATTGGCATTATGCATATATTGTGAGCATATATTTTGGCAATTGCTCTTTTTGGACAACTGAGCACTATTAGAGTCTGAACCGAGTTTGGAGCTAGAAGATGGGATGTGTATTAATCCAAATGTAGTTGGTATGGTTTAACCAGTCTGTACCCTATAACTGTACCTTACATTTAGTGCTCCAATCATTTTCTACTCTTAAGAAATAACTGTAGTGTGATTCTTTCT